CAATTCCAGTGTGCTTTCCCAGTTCCTGACATTACTTGACTAATACTTTGACATTCTGACTGTCTTTGACTCACCTATTGCCAATACTTACCAATCTTTTGACTTTACTTACTGATTCTTCACTTTTTGGCTTGCTAATCCTTACCAATGCTTACCAATGCTTTCCAAGACAATTACCCATCACCTACATTCCTTACTCATCAGTTACCAATCACTTACCAAGTGTTTGCACCTTGTTTTCCAAGGGCAACACCCCTGTACTGTATATAAATCACTGTACTTAGATAGCAAAAAAAAAAGACATCAGAGAGCCCCTCTTGCTTGCATTTTATCATCACTCAGTAATTCATTCAGCAGCTTTGATAGTTGAGACTTCATTAAGGGTCTAACTATCATCTACTTCACTTATCCTTGTCTATCATCAATATACTTCACTCCAAGCCCTCCCTGAGCTCAGTGCAGCTTAGGACATCAAATTAAGTCACCATCCATCCTTCTGTAGGCTGACAGCAATCTACCCTATCACTTTCTATTGCATTCTTGCTCCCTCTTCATCAGGAGCACCCCCAACCCTCAGCACTCATCTTTGAGTGTTGTAGCTTGCAAAACCCCACCCAAATCAAAGGTTCTACCATCTAGGTACTGCATAGGCACACCACCACTCACACTTTTTGTCTTTTGTGTTGGTTTTGGTTGGTTTTCTCCACTGAACCACACTTTGACTCACACTGTGTTGCTTGCCACCCCAGTATGAGTCTCCAGGCTCTCCATCTTTCTCTGATTGTGATGCCAATGCCAATCCCAGAGCTAGCATCGGAGAAAGCAGCTATGTTAATGAGTTGGTGTGGAGGATGGATGGGGCGATGGACATCTCTGTTCTGTAGTCTGTCCATCCACCACTCTAGGTCATTTGTGACCCTCTTGTCCATGTGATGAGGGAGGAAAGGTTTGTTCACACCTGTCTTCAGCATAGCTTCTAGCCAAACAGTCACAAACATCCTGCTCACTATGGGTCACTTCCCATCAATGAATGTAAATCTCACTACAGTCAGCCTAAGCTCGAACTCTATGGTCTTTTCAGAGTGCTTCATCACTATCATCTATATCTCTATGGTGTTCATCATCTATGGGTAGAGGTTGATGCAAAGTACATCAAAGGTATGCTCAATGATCCAGATCTTCAGCCTAATGCGACCATCAATCACTGGATTGAGGGTATCCTGCTCTTTGACTTTAAGCTTGTTCATGTCCCTGCTATTCAACATTGAGCCCCAGATGCACTTTCTAGACAACAGCCCACTGAAGAGGACTATGAAGAAGGTGAAGCCAATGCAGAGGAAGCTGATGAGTGGTTGGAGAGTATTCTTTTTGCAGATGCCCATCCCCTTCCATACAATGTCATGACCCTCCCATCCTTCCTTTCCAATGATACATCCCAGGATGTCCTTTTATGTAGGGCCCTCCACTTCCTTTGAACAACAGAACTACCACCATTCCCTTCCAATATTGCTCACAAGCATTTCATTCATAGGTCCCTCCAGTTCTTCCTTCATGGAGACCAGCTCTTCAAATGTCGAGGTCTCCATCCTCCAGCCAAGGTCATCTTTGACCCAGATCTCCATGCTCAGATCCTCAGTCATGCTCATGAAGAACTTGGTCATTGTGGAGTCTTTGGAGTCTTTCAGACCATCAGACAGCACTTTTATTGGCCTCAGCTCTATCAAGATGTTGCCCACCATGTCTGTTCCTGCCATGAGTGCCAGATTTGAAGCACTCATAAGGCAGAGATTCCCATCACCATCTCCACTTCCCCTAGAATCTTCATGAAGGTTTATGTTGATGTCATGCTCATGCCCAAAGCTTGTGGATATTACTATCTTGTTGCAGCTCGAGATGATCTTTCCCTCACTGCAGAAGGTCATGCTCTTTGACATGCTAATGCAAACAGTCTCACTAAGTTCTTCTGGGACTTCTGTCATTATGGTGTTATTGTGCAGGTTGTCACTGATAATGGCAGCAAGGTCAAGGGTGCCTTTGAGAAACTCATGAAGCACTATTCCATTCCACAGATTCACATCTCCCCATATAATTCAAAAGTGAATGGAGTTGTGGAGCATGGACACTTTGTTATCAGGGAAGCTATCATCAAGGCTTGCAAGGGAGATCTTTTGCTCTGGCCATCCAAGGTTCATCATGCTTTCTTCGCAGACAGGGTTACTACTCATCGCTCCACTGGATTCAGCCCTTACTTCTTGCTCCATGGTCTTGATCCTGTCTTGCCCTTTGATCTCTTTGAGTCTACATGTCTTGTTGAAGGATTCCAGTCTGGATTGACTTCTCAGGAGCTGCTTGCACTACACATTTGCCAGTTGGAGAGGAGGGAAGAGTACATCAATGCTGCTTTCACCACTCTGCAGAGGTCTTGTTTGTGCTCCAAGGGTCAGTTTGAGAAGAGGTATGCACTACAATTGGTGAAGTCTGCTTATGAGCCAGGAGACTTGGTATTGGTTTGCAACACTCAGATAGAAAAGGAACTGGATCATAAGTCAAAGCCCAGCTACCTTGGTCCCTATGAGGTTGTTCATGCACACCAAGGGGGGTTCCTATGTCATTAAAGAACTCGATGGCACCATTTCTGCTTGAGGAATTCACAGCATTTTGACTCATTCCCTATTATTCTCGACACACTCCTTTACTAGAGGTTATGGAAAAAGATGTTGAGGAAGAAGAAGAATGTAACAGCAATGATGATGATGATGATGATGAAAATGACAATGAAGATGAAGATGAAGATGAGGAAAACCAAGAACACAATAATGAAAATGACTATGACTCAGATGACTATTCATGATTTCTCCTTTTTCTTTTGGTTTCTTACTCTTGTCCTCTCTCATTCTTTTCTTCATTTTGTTTGGATTTTTCTGTTTTCCCTGGGTTCCCTGCATTGGTCACAATTGGGGATGATTGCATTTCTTCTTGCTGGTGGATGTCACACACCAAAGGTATTTGGTGAGGTGGACATGGATACAGCAGATGAATGGAGATGAAGACCATAGCCCTCATGTGAAGAAGGACAGCCAGGAATGTTGGCAGTCATCCTGTGCACAAGAACAAGTCATCAGTACCAGAAAAAAAGAAAGGGAGCAAGTTAAGCACTGGCTAAAATGCTTAAGCACCCATGTATGGCATTCTGGTTTTCAACATATCTCTGCCATTTCTGCAGATACCAAGACCATTCCCACACTCGCTTGTAGTGCTCAGCCACACAATCTTACCTTCCAAAATTGGAAAGGATTTGCACACTCCACATGTTTCTACAGCACTCCCTCCAAAAGATGCTCATTTTGCTAAATTCTTCTGATATGGCTGCCTCTACATCAATCATTTTGCTTGTCCCCTTTGCTAGGGACCATGGCTACATATATCTACCAGGAGTTCCTACCAGCTTCCATCCTGAAGCATCCTGGTACATCCCACCCTTGTCTGTGCCCTCTCAGCCCATCCAGCTTGGACAGTGTGTTCTTTTTGTCAGTATGACCTCTAGGAGGATGTTCTTTGGTCACCTCAGGTCTGTTGTTCACTTGGAAAGGTCTTATGTGGTTGTTTCAGTCTCTCCAGTCCAAGAAGCATATGGATCCTTCCTCCCTGCTCCCTCCAATGTCTTCATACCAGTCTCATCCATCATTCTTCCAAGATTGTGACAGCTACAGTATAATCTACTGTTCTCCACTCTCCCTGATTGCATCCATGACAAGTATGATGCACATCTTGCCTCCTTGTTGCAAGATACAGCAGAAGACACTCCCCATTCATCCTCTCTTCCAACAGGGCCTTGTTCATGAAGTTTTTATTTGCTTCACTGAGAGGATGGTTTGGGGGGGAAAGTTGCAATCCCCTATGCTCCTGTCACCCCACAGACCCCCAAAGCTTGACCCCTGTTGACATCTGACTCACCCTGTCCACTTTTGGATGTACTATATCAGCATCAGATCAGCACTGCCTCTCTGTCATCCCACCTTGGCCTAGAAATGATCTCTTTGAGATGTGACATGCACAGCCTCCCCCTAATGCAATTCCAGTGTGCTTTCCCAGTTCCTGACATTACTTGACTCATACTTTGACATTCTGAATGTCTTTGACTCACCTATTGCCAATACTTACCAATCTTTTGACTTTGCTTACTGATTCTTTGCTTTTTGGCTTGCTAATCCTTACCAATGCTTACCAATGCTTTCCAAGACAATTACCCATCACTTACATTCCTTACTCATCAGTTACCAATCACTTACCAAGTGTTTGCACCTTGTTTTCCAAGGGCAACACCCCTGTACTGTATATAAATCACTGTACTTAGATAGCAAAAAAAAAAGACATCAGAGAGCCCCTCTTGCTTGCATTTTATCATCACTCAGTAATTCATTCAGCAGCTTTGATAGTTGAGACTTCATTAAGGGTCTAACTATTGTCTACTTTGCTTATCCTTGTCTATCATCAATATACTTTGCTCCAAGCCCTCCCTGAGCTCAGTACAGCTTAGGACATCAAATTAAGTCATCATCCATCCTTCTGTAGGCTGACAGCAGTCTACCCTATCACGTTCTCTCGCATTCCTGCTCCTTCTTCATCAGGAGCACCCCCAACCCTCAGCACTTGTCTTTGAGTGTTGTAGCTTGCAAAAACCCTTCCAAAGAACAGGTTCTACCATCTAGGTACCGCATAGGCACACCACCACTTGCTCTTTTTGTCTTTTGTGTTGGTTTTGGTTGGTTTTCACCACTGAACCACACTTTGACTCACAGTGTGGGCCATCCAGTGATATCAGCAGTCTGCTTCAGATGTACAGAGGCCACCTTGATCTGGCACACCAAGTAGAGGATACCCATCTCTACCACAGACTGGTGAGATGGGTGTGATTGGCTGGCAATGAATGGCTCAGGTCAATTTTTAATGGCAGAATGTGGATAACAAATGACTTCCATGAAATTGAGCACATTGATGAGTCAAAGGCCCTGAGAGGCTGCACCATACTGGTCCCTTGCAGCTGTGCCCAATTCTCTCACAATGGGATTTGCAGCCCACACAAGGTGCCTATTGAGGGTGGGATTGAACAGTGTGTTGCCGGGAGTGGTGTTTCCACAATAGCAAGATACTGCAGCATGTAAGGTGTGCAGGACTAAAATTATCAATGTCAAAGGTGTATCAGATTAAGCTCATGCCCATACCTTGATTGCAATGTGGAACAGGTGCCAATCCCCATTGTTCCATTTGAAGAGATTGCTGTGCAGATGGAAGTTCACCTACATAATCGATGGATATTGCTGATCACATGAATAGAACCAAATAAATGCTCACCATTGCATCTTTCCTCAAAAAGATCCCTCATCTCTGATCATTTGGGCATGCCAAAAGTCAAATGGTTTGTGCCATTGTCCTCATCTGCTGCCAAGTCAAAAGATTCGATGGGTACATTTGAAACAAGTGGGGGAGGCATTGGTTCCCTCATATCCTGCAATTGAGCAAGCAGGTTAGTCAGAGAATCAGGTCAAGGAGATCAGTCCCTCAGATTTGATGATTTGCAGGTGATGGGCAGAGGAGATGGTTCCTGCACATTCTGCAAGTCTGCCAGAAAATTGACCTGCATAGTAACATCTTGTGCAGGTGTTGAAGACCCATCCATCCTGTTTAATTTCTTGTGCATGACTGGTGGTGCTGATGGTTCCCATGCATTCAGCAATTGCTTGAGTAGATCCATGTTCATACCATCCACTGGGGGAGCAGTTGGTTCCCATTCATTCAGGAACTGATTCATCAAGTTGTTGTGTGGATCTATTACTAGAAAATTAGTTTGTTTGTTAGCTTGAGGGGCAATTGTGCCAACTCACTGGCCATGATTCTGCCCTCTTCCAGAGCAGTTGGCTCCCTTTCCTGCAGGAACTGATCCACCAAGCTTTTGCATGAATCTATAGCAAAAGAATGTTTGTTGTTTAGCTTGGAGGGAAATCATGTTCACTCACCAGCCACAATATCCATGTTCGACCCCACCATATCTGCCCTTCCACTTGAGACAATTGGTGGAGGGGTTGGCTTTCACAACTCACACAGTTGTACTAGCATCTCCTCCAGAATTTTGGACTGCTTCACATGGGAGCTAGATTGCCTTGGCTCAATTGGTCTTACATTAGCTGTGGATGGCTTAGGTCACTGGATCCAATGATGAAGACAACCTCACCTTGATGACAGAAATGAACTTGGCAGGACTGTTCGGTGGACATATTCAACGATGATGGGTTCACTGATAGGTCAATGATCAATCAAGATTTAAACTTGTAGGAACAATGGCAAGAATATCACTCACACTGTGGGAAGCAAGGTTGGACAATGGTGGACAGAGTCAAATTTTGGGTAACAGCATTACATGGGAGATGAGCAGAAATATCTCCCTACATAGATAGCTACCAGTTGCTTCCACATGGCCAATACATAGACCTGACCTGCTCAGCTGTCTGCTCAATTGTCATGCTCAACCATTGTGAGTCAAAGTGTGGTTCAGTGGTGAAAAACAACCAAAACCAACACAAAAGAGAAAAAGAGCGAGTGGTGGTGTGCCTATGCAGTACCCAGATGGTAGAACCTTTGATTTGGGTGGTTTTTTGCAAGCTACAACACTCAAGGACAAGTGCTGAGGGTTGGGGGTGCTCCTGACAAAGAAGAAGCAGGAATGTGAGAGAACATGATAGGGTAGACTGCTGTCAGCCTACAGAAGGATGGATGATGACTTAATTTGATGTCCTAAGCTGCACTGAGCTCAGGGAGGGCTTGGAGTGAAGTATATTGATGATAGACAAGGATAAGCAAAGTAGACAACAGTTAGACCCTTAATAAAGTCTCAACTATCAAAGCTGCTGAATGAATTACTGAGTGATGATAAAATGTGAGCAAGAGGGGCTCTCTGACATCCCTTTTTTTTTTTGCTATCTAAGTACAGTGATTTATATACAGTACAGGGGTGTTGCCCTTGGAAAACAAGGTGCAAACACTTGGTAAGTGATTGGTAACTGATGAGTAAGGAATGTAAGTGATGGGTAATTGTCTTGGAAAGCATTGGTAAGCATTGGTAAGGATTAGCAAGCCAAAAAGCAAAGAATCAGTAAGCAAAGTCAAAAGATTGGTAAGTATTGGCAATAGGTGAGTCAAAGACAGTCAGAATGTCAAAGTATGAGTCAAGTGATGTCAGGAACTGGGAAAGCACACTGGAATTGCATTAGGGGGAGGCTGTGCATGTCACATCTCAAAGAGATCACTTCTAGGCCAAGGTGGGATGACAGAGAGGCAGTGCTGATCTGATGCTGATATAGTACATCCAAAAGTGGACAGGGTGAGTCAGATGTCAACAGGGGTCAAGCTTTGGGGGTCTGTGGGGTGACAGGAGCATAGGGGATTGCAACTTTCCCCCCCAAACCATCCTCTCAGTGAAGCAAATAAAAACTTCATGAATGAGGCTCTGTTGGAAGAGAGGATGAAGGGGGAGTGTGTTCTGCTGTATCTTGCAACAAGGAGGCAAGATGTGCATCATACTTGTCATGGATGCAATCAGGGAGAGTGGAGAACAGTAGATTATACTGTAGCTGTCACAATCTTGGAAGAACGATGGACAAGACTGGTATGAAGACATTGCAGGGAGCAGGGAGGAAGGATCCATATGCTTCTTGGACTGGAGAGACTGAAAAAACCACATAAGACCTTTCCAAGTGAATGACAGACCTGAGGTGACCAAAGAACGTCCTCCTAGAGGTCATACTGACAAAAAGAACACACTGTCCCAGCTGGATGGGCTGAGAGGGCACAGATGAGGGTGGGATGTACCAGGATACTTCAGGACAGAAGCTGGCAGGAACTCCTGGTAGATATATGTAGCCATGGTCCCTAGCAAAGGGGACAAGCAAAATGATTGATGTAGAGGCAGCCATATCAGAAGAATTTAGCAAAATGAGTGTCTTTTGGAGGGAGTGCTGTAGAAACATGTGGAGTGTGCAAATCCTTTCCAATTTTGGAAGGTAAGATTGTGTGGCTGAGCACTACAAGCGAGTGTGGGAATGGTCTTGGTATCTGCAGAAATGACAGAGATATGTTGAAAACCAGAATGCCATACATGGGTGCTAAAGAATTTTAGCCAGCACTTAACTTGCTCCCTTTCTTTTTCTCTGGCACTGATGACTTGTTCTTGTGTGCGGGATGACTGCCAACATTCCTGGCTGTCCTTCTTTGCATGAGGGCTATGGTCTTCATCTCCATTCATCAGCTGTATCCATGTCCACCTCACCAAACACCTTTGGTGTGTGACACCACCCTTGTGTTCTGCCCTGTAGCTGATGGGGTGGGTCAGTGGATACTTCACAGGAGACATCCAGTGGCAAGCTAGCCCATTCATTCACCTTTCCCATGTTTTATTTCCATTGTGGATATGTCTGGTATGACATGAGTATGTATGTCATTTGTCTTGAAAGGCTCATGCATCTGTAGGGCTGAGATGAACAGCAACAAGCCATTGTTGGGACACAGAATACTCATTTCTCACTACAGAGGGTGAATTGGTCACTAGTGACTGGCTGAATGCCCTTGGTGTATTTCCATCTGCAGAGAAATATTTATCTGCTCATTTGCCAAGCTTCCACCTATTGAAATACATTGGCTCCTGTAATAGCAGAATGCAATGTTTTCCCTGAATTGAACCTTGCAAATCTCACAATCTGCTCATTTGCACCTGTCCCACCTGTGGGCATACCTTGGATCCTATGTTAGTGCAATGAGAATATTGCTTTGCATTTGCATCTGATGACTGATTGCTCTCAGCCTTGCATCTCACACAGTCTGCTCATTTTGAAGGGTTCTGTCTATCAGGATCCACTGAATGCTGTGTTAGCAGGTCGAGATAGTCCATATCAACCTTGCATATTTCCCAGGCCACTCATTTGGAAGGGCTTCCATCTATCAGGATCCACAGAATGCTGTTTTTGCAGGCTGATATCTTTCTTTGCATCATTATCCTATTATTAGCCATTATCTTGTTTTGTAACTCTCAAGTGAATGCTGTAAATAGCATAGCCCACTCATTTGCCAGGTGTCCATCTATTCAGATTCATCAGCAGCTGTATTAGCAGACTCAGATGTGTTGGCCAAATCAGACTATTAATTGCATTTGTGTTGAATGGGAGGTTGCTATCGCATATTGCACAGTCCATTCATTTGCAAAGGTTCTGTCTATCAGGTTCCATCAGCTCCAGTTTTAGCAGAATGAGACCATCCCACTATCTCATTTTTTAAGTTTCACGTTAACTATTCTATGTCACAAAGCCATGCCTATTGGGATACATTAGCAGTTGTTTTAGTAGAATGAGATTATCCTTCACAATTAATGGAAATACAAAATGACATTGTATGTACCATGGAGGAGTAAAATGATAGACAGCCTTGTTCACCCTGCTGTCCTATCCACCCTTGTCTCATCTGCCAGAGGCCCTAAGAGATTAATGAGATTGTCACCCAATGCTCGTCCATATACCTGAATATGCAGAGCCTCTAGCTCATGAGCCATCCTGTCCAGTGTCTGAATGGTTTCATCCTGTTGTATTTGGAAATCACACATTTGATCCTTGTAGTATTGGTGGTGGGCCTCAGCATCGCAGAGTCAATGTTCCAAATCTTCAATTCACTCTTCGATTGTGTTGGACATTTGCAACACCTCAGTGATTGGGGCACAGACAGGTGATGGTGCACTGGGGAGTTGCAGTGGTTGCAAGTTGGACAGGTGCTGCTGTTGTCGATGGGCAGGTGTCTGCTTTGAATGCAAGGGTTAACCATAATAATTAGCATAGATGTAGATTGATTAAACATACCTGCTGCTGTAGATCCCTCTACCTCCTGTGCAATGGATGGGCCAGCCTTGATGATCAAATCTGCTCATACAGTGGCTGGGATTGGGCAGGAATCCCTGCATTTGAATGCAGGAATATGAATCTCTAAATAAAATTTGAGTCAGCATAAACACATGAAATTGTGAACATACTGAGTGAAGATCCCTTGGGGATTGTCTCTCCCCAGTTGGAGGGCCCAACCCCAGCATTGATGGCTTTGGAAGCCATCGAAATGTGTCGCTTTGGGGGATGTTCCTTTGGACTTTGGGATTCTCAGGCCTCCATTGTCAGGCACAGACTTCGAGCTCACTTTTTTCCCCTGGCTTGTGATGGATTCCATCGAGTTGGAGTGGCAATCCTGCCTTTGGCATGGCTACATCGAATTTTGTGACTGATGCATGGGAAGCAGGACTTCCTGGGGTTCTTGTAGCATTGGACCTTGCATCTGTGGCATGAGTTGCAGGAATGGGGGTCAGGGGAAGGCATCCTTCTGGCAGCTATGGCAGTGCGACCATACAGTCCATCTGACAGTGGTGAGGCTTGCATTTCAATTGGCCTTGAGCAGGAACATCTTCATCATCATTGGTTTCTGCTGTTGCCTTCCTAGAGCAGGATCAATGTCTGGATCAATGGGACATCGTTTTCATGGCAGCTTTGTGCTTCTGCCTGCCTCATGCTGGTTCTTCCTCATCATCCTCCTTCTCTGGCACCTCATCTTCACCCTCATTGTCCACCTCCATCCTGTGTGAGCTATCCACTATCATTTGCTCCACCTCTGCCTCAGTTGCTTTCCATTTTCCTTTGTCACTCATAGGCATTTCGGTCTCTTGAGTGGGTGGTGTTGGTGTTGGCACAATGTGGGGCATAGGGAGGCCCAACTGGTGGTAGTTGTATCAATGCTTGACAATGTTGAGCCACTTGTGGTTGGCAACATTGGTTTTGGAAGGGGATAGGGCAGTCTTCCACTCAGGCCATGGGTGCTCAATTGAGCCAAGGTCTTCATGCCACTTTAAGAATGTGTCGACACCAATGAGGTTGCATACAGTGTCCTGAATGCATCAGTTAGTGAAAAAAATGTGATGATGCTATGACACACTAGTTCATCATTTATCACCTTGATGGCACCTCTCCACTTCACAATCTTGTCCACCTTTCCCAGCTTGCTGCTTTCCATGATATCCTTGAAGTAGATTTGAAGGATGTGGTTGGCTGCAGCATCAAGCTCAGGCAATTTCTTGAAGAGCTTGTGAGACAAAAATGATGACATGTTTCTGATGATGAGACAATGGAGTAGTTTGATGGTGAGAGTGGTGATGGTGATTGGAGAGTGGAAGAGTCAGAGGTTAAGATGGATGACAAGATATGCAGATGTCACATTTTTAGGTCCCACCTATGAATGATTCCCATGGCATGATGGCAATACCGGTACAAGTCAATAATCCTGAATGCATATATGAAGCAGAAGCTCAGATAAAAATATGATGCATTGTTCTGGAATAGCATTGCTGTTTGTTTTGCATTTTTCCCATCTGCTCCAATGGCAGAGCCTGGCTTGCAGCTACATAGACCAGCACCTGAGATTCCAACTAAATAGGCAAATTGTCCAATGTGAAACACAATTTATAGTGGGAAATTCAGATACTCTATAGTGTGAGAGGTTCCACTTTCTTCATTTCTTGTCTTCCTGGGCCTGTCTTATATTGTGACAGGGGGATAACCCAATTACAGATAGGCCCATCCATTTGTGGTGAGCTATCTATGATATGACAGATTGGCCCATCTTATGCAGTGCCAAGGGTTTGTAATCCTGTGATGGACAGATCGGCCCATCTTATGTTGCAACACTGGTTTTTGTTTTCCCTTATCTGCTGCCTGAGAATACCATGTATGGGCCCATCCTTATGTAGATCCCTTTGATCTCCCTTTCTGCTGCCTGAGAATGCCTTACATGGACCGTCCTTATGTTGTGACAGGGGTGCATCTTGCTAGATGGGCCTGTCCATTTGTTGTGATGATATACATGATACTACTGAAGGGCCTGTCCTTATGTTGTGATGCTATTAAACAGCATTACTGATGGGCCCATCTTTATGTTGTGACAATATCAATAATATTACTGAAGGGCCTGTCCATATGTTGTGACTCTATTAAATGATATTAGTGATGGGCCCATCTTTATGTTTCAACAGGGTACATCTTGCTGGGGCCAGGCCTGCTGATATGTTGTGATGCTATGCATGAGATTACTGGTGGGCCCAGTCTTTATGTTGTGACAATATAAACAATATTACTGAAGGGCCTGTCCATATGTTGCAACTCTATTAAATGATATTAGTGATGGGCCTGTCTTTATGTTTCGACAGGGTACATCTTACTGGGGCCAGGCCCACCCATATGTTGTGATGCTATACATGAGATTACTGATGGGCCCATCTTTATGTCTTGTCAGAGGTACATCTTACTGTGGACAGGCCTGTCCATATGTTGCATAATACTACTGACAGGCCCAACCTTATGTTGTGACTCTATTAAATGATACTAGTAATGGGCCTGTCTGTATGTTTCAACAGCAGTACATCTTACTGTCAACAGGCCTGTCTATATGTTGTGGACATTATGAAACAACATTACTGACAGGCCTGTCTTTATGTTGCAACAGGGGTATGGCTTATTATGAATGGGCCTGTCTAGATGTTGCAACACCATAAATGATATTACTCCTGGGCCCATCCTTATGTTGTGACCCTCTCCATGTTATGATAGGCAGGCCCACCTTGATGTTGCAACAGGGGGGTAACCTACCAGGACAGGCCTGTCCATGTCTTACAGCAACTCAGTATACTTAATTGGTCAGGGACCTGTCTAAATGTTTCAACATCCTTACCCACCATGGGCCCTCCCATATGTTGTGGTAATGCACTTACAGGCCCATACATATGTTGCTCTCACTTTAGTCCCTCAGGCCTGTCCATGTGTACTGGCTAATCTATTTAGGTGGGCCCAGTCTATATGAGTGTTGGTGTTTTGGTGCACAGGCTGCCCATGTGTTGTGACTAAATGTGACTACACTATGTGGAGTGACTGAATGGCTGGTCTTTCAACTGCTCCCAGGGAATGCCAAGTATTTCTGACAGGGCATCAATGTCCTCAAAGCTGTAAGAGAAAAGGGTGTTGTGGGTTGATCTGAGTGAAGCTAGGGCAAGGTTGTGGATGGGTTGTGAGCAGTCCTCATTGAACTCTTCAAGCATGTCATCATCAAGTGTTCTCCTTTGGTACCATATGCAGGCTCCTGCCTGCTGGGGATTGTGTGGGTGTGTGGCAATCTCACCACACCAGAGGTTTCTCAGTCTATTGTATTCAGCTAAATGTTTGTGCCTGATATGTAGGAAGATGTGGTCATCTACCCATTTGTCCAAGGGTCTGATGCCATGATGTCTCAGAATTTCTGATCTGGCATCTGCTAAGTGTCTGTAGATTCCTGTGGAAGGAGTTGCTCCAAATGCGATGCAAGTATCCATGCAGCCATGTGTGCTCGATGTACATACTATGCTTGCTGGCCATTGTGACAGGTGGAGGGGAATGGTGCAGTAGGCTTCTGCTACATCTCACATCATAATTTCCGAGCCTGGGGGAAGGTGTGCAATCAGTGCATAAATTATGGAGAATTTTCCCCATGTGGTTGGGAAGTTGTGGGCATTTACATAGGAATTGATTGATGGGTTGGGGGTGCTCAGGCAGGTGATGTGTGGGAAAGAGAAGTTTTGTATGAGTTGGAATTTGCCTGGCCAATCAGGCTTGGGGATGATGGAGAGGGGGGATGACTGGAATGTGCCAATTAAGGATTTGATTGTTTTTAATGGTAGCAGACCTATGAAGTGACCTTTCTCAATTTCTTTATGGACAATCTTATTAAATTTGCTCTCATATATGGAAATGGAGTCTCTGTTTGGGGGGGATTGTGTATGCATGATTGGGGGAAAGTTTACAATGAAACCCCAGCAAAGGCCTTCTGGGATTCTACTAAAGCGATTGATTAGGTTAAGATCTCGAAGCACCTGACTCCATGCTTCTACTTTATATGGGGCTGTTGGGTGTAATCACTTGAGCTTGAGGACATCTCTGAGCTCCATGGGATGTTGCTCCGCAACCTGAGCAGAAATGCTTGGCATTGTGCCTCTCTGCACAGCCTTCTTCTTGCTGCCACTTGGTGCAGATGCATTGCCCATCTTTCATGAAGAGTGCTTTGTAGATTCTTTCAGCAAAGGCTTTGTGTTTCTTGCCCCAGGTGTGAGTGGCTCTGCACTCAATAACAAGGTGGCAGTGGTTCCCAAGGCATACTGCACAGGCTGGGAGGGGTTGGGAGTCAGTGAAACTGCTGCTCCAAAACATTTTCTGTTGCTTGTGATTGGTTTGGTCATGTGCTATCCCTGCATGGGGGGGGAGAGGGGGCATTTCTGTCTGCTGTGGGTTCTTGTGTGGCTCGCTGTGGAGGCTGATTGGTTAGCAATGGCTGCAAAGTGCTCATTGACCTGTGTTAGCAGGTTTGGAAGTTGGGGGGGGGGGGGGAGAATGGTTGAGCAATGTGATCCACAGACATGATGCTGGTTGAATGAAATGATCCATGGATGTGATGCTGGTTGAATGGAATGATCCACAGACATGATGCCAGAGTAAAGTGAAGAAAATGATGATGGGGGGGGTGTTAGTACAACGTGTAGTGATAGTATGTAATGTCATGGGTTGTTCATGTTTGTTAGCTTGCATAGACTCTAGTGGGGAGTGAGGTGACATACCCTGTGGAGGTTATCTAGCTGTGTGGTCCTCTCATTGTCAAGGATCTCATCTTTCACTATGCTTAGTAGTTCCTTGTTTAACTCCACTAGGGACCACCTGTATGATCCTAGCTTGGATTGGTGCCAGCATTGGTGCTGTTGGCTTTGATAGAGTAGGAGTGCTCGTTTGTAGTGTTCACATGGAGAGCAGTGCCAAGGGTGGCTTTTGATTGCTGTCCAGAAGTCAACTGTGCATCTTTATGCTTTCCTCTGGCCAGTTGTGGTCTCTCATTGCATCAATCATGCAGAGGGCTGCTTCTCCAAACTGTTCCCAAGTGAGGTCCTCATCTTTGATGACCAATGACCTGTCTCTTGTTGTTGAGGCAGCTACCCAGAGGTGCTGGCCATTGTCTGTTTTCAGCAGTGTCAGGGCTTCATCATCAACAGAGGGGTTGGATCATTCTGCCTCTGCTAAACCAGCATTGGTGAAGAAAGAAATACAGTTTGCAATACTCCCCCTTAAGGAGTTTGCATGACATGTAGGGGGCAGGGATGTTAACTGGCCCAGTGGGGGCTTTGATGTTGTGAATGGGCATGAACTTCACTTTGTATTTCTTGCACTCTTCGAGGTGTGCTGCTTCCTCTTCTTCAAGGGTTCAATGCTGTTGTTCCACTTGTTCTTCCACAGCTCATTCTTCTGCTTCTTGCACTCTGCAGGTTTCCTCTGCTTTGCACACAGTCCAATGTGCATTTTCTCTGTTGTTGTTGATCTCCCAGAGGGTGCCCAGGATGTGGGCTGCCTGTTCATTGTCTACAGTGTCACTGATCAAATGAAGGCATGCCTCATTGTACTCCTCTGAGGAGAAATCAGGTCGGATAGCTAGGTTTGGGTCCTCCATGCTGGCTTTCGTGGGGAGGGAATGTGAAAAGGAACAGAGGAGGCACAATCGAGGGCTGGACATGCTGAGTTCTGCCTGTGGCGAAGTGTGCTGAGGCAAGATGCATGGTCCACTTTGCTTACTCAAATATGGACTACATTCTATGTCACACTTCATGACTCAGCTTACATAGAATACTATCTACCTTCTGACTCAGATTCACATGCATTGTTTCGCTCCAGTGGTGCTCAAGATCGTCCAATTGCATCCTCAGCCATACCTGCACACCTTTACTACTTGCGAGTACATATGTTATTTCATTTTCATGTGTTGTCCCTAGTTTCCAAATTAGTGGCGCTCAAGGTGGCGCTGGAAGCGCTCTGGAAGCACTTTGTCTGTGTTCTGGCACTGGCTCTGGAAACATGTTCTGGCCACTACATTTTCAACTCCAACAAGCTGAACGGTGTGGCATCCCTGTCAGACTCAAAATAAATTACAGTAGTTTTAGCAGTATATCAAATAATTAAATAGCTAAGTCTTGAAGAACAATGCCCTGCGAATCTCTCCACAAAAATCTCCTCAGACAACTTGATGAAGCTAGCTTGGAAGTAGCAATGGCCAGGCTGGAAAATGCACATCACGAAATTGATAGTAGCGATAATAGCAATTCAACCACAACATACGGGGATTCCAATTCATCTCAGAGTGTCCTCTTCATTACTCTGCCATCTCCAATCTCAATGGATTCCAACTCCAGTGTTTCTGATGATACAGACTTGATGGTTGAGAGGGATAGGCAGTGTGGACAGGCTCCTGAATGCGATTGAGGCTCTGAAGGACAAAGTAGAGCATGCATGGGTTCTTGAAAAACCCACTGTACCATTGATGTGGTCATTGCAGCTCGGCCTGCTCAACCATTTTGCTGACCATTGCCCTCATCTGTTCCTTAGACGCCTTCGTGTATGGCCAGAAGTTTTCGATTCGCATCCTTGATCAAATAAGTAGCCACCCAATATTTCATAGTAGCTCTGAAAATTGTCAGTTGCCAGTTGCCATTCAACTCGCAACTTTCCTTTTCCGTGCAGGGCATTATGGAAATGTGGCATCACCAGAGGACGTGGCCCAGTGGGCTGGGGTTAGTGTGGGATCAGTGATCAATTTCACCAATCAGGTCATGGTCACGATACTGGATGAGCACGACACATTTGTCAATATTCCCCCTCATGACTCAGAGGATATGGAAAGAGCACATACCTTCACTGAATCATGGACATGTCTGGCATGGAGAAACAGCATCTTTGCTGCAGATGGCTCATCGATTCCACTCTTTGAAAAGCCCCAAATATTTGGGGAGAGCTTCTATGACAGAAAATCCAGGCATTCACTCAATTGTCAGGTGTGTATTCCAATGCACACAAAATGGAATACTTACCACTCATAGCTTGTTATCGTGCCACACAACCTTCTCGTGGTTGACTATGGGCTTGGTCACCCTGGAAGCATCCATGATGCATGGGTGTTTCAAGGTACTCGCATCACATCACGACTGGGAGACCTTATCCTTGAAGATCACTGGACCTGGGCAGATAGCGCATATCCCATGGAGGAATGGTGCACTGTTCCTTTTAAAAAACCCAAGGGCAGGTGGCTATCTTGCAATCAGAATTTATATAACAAATATCTTTCTAAGGTGATACTTACCTCGTACTGGTATGCATGCTAATCATGTTGAAAGGTCTGCATCCGCGTTGAGCACGCATTTGCTGCCTTGAAGGGTCAATTTCAGAGTCTCCATGAGCTGTGCTTGAAAATCCAGAACGAGAGGGATGTTAAGGTTGCAGTTTACTGGGTAATGTGTTGCATCATCTTGCATAACATGGTGATCCATTTTGAGGAGGAAATGGTTGGCATCGTCAAGCCCTTGAGTCGGTGGGCAATGGAGGAGGGGTCAGGCCAACAGGACAGTGACATGGTCATGGTAGGAGAGGCTGTGGGAACACCAGGTCAGCAATTTTGAATGAGGCTGTTAGATGGGCTGTTCCAATATCTGGGGCATGAATGTACCTAGTGTAAACAGACCAAAATGGTCGCCATATAAAGTTGAGGGAGCATAGCTAGCAATGCTGTAGGAGTCAGCTAAGTCCCACCCATTGATGATGAGGGTGTGTAAGGGGTCTTCACAGGATCCAGGCACTTTATGACTGACCTTGGAGAAGTCACTTACAATACCACATGCATTCTGCAAATGAAATGTACCCTACATTGCATCTTGATACAGTGTTGGAGTGAGTATGGGGGAGACAGAGAAGTAATACAGTATGGGGCGAGCGTGTACTTAATGATCATATGATGCACTGGGACTGAGAGACAAGTACAACAGAGAAGATGATGAGCCAAGCGGAGATGTGACAATGGATTAAAAAAAGAAATGGATGTGATCACAAAGGGTGGCTGGCCTAAGCAGTGGGGTCGGAAGACATTGAGCTGGAGCTGGCACCACTCTTCATGAGCTCTGCGAGTTGAATCTTGAGTCAAAGGGTTTCAGCCTCCCTCATGAAGGTGTTTTCTTCAGCATTCTTCAGCTCGATATGGAGCTTCCGGAGCTCCTGCTCCCTTTGATGCTTATCCTCCATGTCTTTCCACTGCATCCTGAGTTGCTCCTTCCTCAACTCGAGCTCCCAATCCTTCAGCATATACTGCATTTTCGCCAGGTACTGCGCAGTCTTACCAGAAGACGAGGATGCTAGTATCAACTCGGCCTCTTGACTCATGTCAATGACCTGGCTTTGAAGTTGAGACTTGTTGCGAGCAACTGGGAGAGAACTTGCCTCCGTTGATGTTGTCTTGGATGATGAGGACCACGGGGTCCTCACAACAGCCTTCCCCTTTCAGGAAGAGCTAGATGATGACGACACAGAGGAAATGACACTTCTGGTGGAAGTGGGGGGACAAAGGTATGGTGATTGGTGGAATGCAGAGTGATTATCCAAGAAAGGTGTGCAAGACTTGCAAGGGAGGGAAAATTGAGACTGCACCTCAGGAGTCAATGGCTGAGGATATGACTGCTGATTCATTAACAACGATCCATTAGTGATGTCCCAATAGAAATGCACCTGATCACTGTGAACCAACACCAAGTCCATGTTAACATCCTCTCCATCTCCAAAGCTGGGGTCCGTGCCTTCCAGATCAAAGATACTATTGGCAAATTCATCCCCCTCATTCACAACTAGATCACCAACATGAGACATCCTCTCGTCAACTTCACCATCCTCCAGATCTTGATTGCCGCGCATTTCCTTGGTCCCAGTATTCGAAGGGGTACCTTCATCCACCAGAGTGGCAGGTGACCCCACTCCCAAGTCTGAAGTCTTCTGTGTACCAGATGATTTATTTTGGACAATGGCTAAAAAATCTTCAGTGCGATTTTTGTCTGGCTCAGAATTAATTGGGTCAGAGTCGAAGGAGGGGTTGCCCTGCCAGATGGAATGCAGATTGTCATACCAGGGTAAAGTGTTGAGAACAGCTTCTGTAATCATACACATCAGCAACTGTAATCCCACTAGATAGATTGATAACTTATGATGGAGATTTGCATAGCTTGCATGACCAGGCATAATGCCTTCCCCTGATTGTTTAAAGTGTGCACAGCACTTGCGATATGATCCCTTCAGCCTAAATGATCATTAAAAAATCACAAATAAAATATGAAGAGACTGACATAGTGATGCAGTTGCCTACACTAACTTGGAACTTAGCAGGGCCCGCCATGGACATGTCCTTGTAGTGGGATCATTCTTGAATACAACTTCAGCAATAATTGCTTGAACTTCTTTCTTGTTATGGCCCACTGGCCCCTTGTCAGGTGAAGGTGGTGAGATGGTTGTGATCTTATCACTAAAAAGGATTCTCCAGTTTGTGGGATGGGTGAGCAACCAGTTGATGAGTATATTGGTACAAGGAATGTCCCAGTTGATGTTCTTCAGCTGAAGACCTTCTGTAGTAGATGCATCACCAGTAGTGGTGACAGCCCGCTGGCTGGATGAAGCCAGGTTCTTGCCCTTGGTTCCGCCACAAGTAGATCTACCACTCGATCCATGACCAGAGCCTGAATTCCCGGTGGGTCTGTCGGATCCTCCTCGATGGGCTTGTTCACTTGAAGACACCATGGGCTGACCTGAGATTGCTTGCAGGCGAGCAGAGCGCCAAATGCATGGTCATAGAGGAGACATAACTTTTCAAACTCCGCAAGGCCAATGCCAGTTGCAGATGCCATTCCAGAACAATTCCAGAGCGCTTCCAGCGCCACCTTGAGCACCACTATTGTTCATATCTATACTCTTATATGTTTTCACACGTGTACAGGTCGGGTGCGTGCATGCCGAGCTGGTATCGACATCCACTTGGTCACTCCTTTCATGGTTTGCTTTGTGTAGCTTGTTCTCGCACTTTGACCAATACTCGAATACTTGCCTTGCTTTGCCCTTCGTCCCCGCTATACATAGCAGGAGTACGTGCAAACACGTGTCTGGTGAATCGAGTGCCACATAATATGGCCTCTGAACGGTTGCACACCACCACATCGCGGGAGAGACGTATCTAGTGGAAACAAACCACGCTGTGACAAGCGATGCAACAAGCATATACAAATGCCGGTACTGAGGGACCACGGCACGCCTGATGATTCTTTCTTCCGATGATCCCTCGCTACGTTTGGTGGGCCTGTTCTAGCTGTCCGTCGCCCCTGGTGTTACCTTGTCGTGCCCCTCTCTGCATACCCCACACAAGGCTAGTACTCATGCTCCTGAGTCAGCGAGATGCACTTGGCAGGCAACGCTAGGAATACATTCAAAATTTAATTCGACCGCATTAAAGAGACATGTATATCAGAGTCGTAGAAGGCTTTTTCGAGGGAACAAACGCCAGTTCATATGCAGTAGATCTGGGTGCAACCTAGAAGACACACATTTCCCTTATTTTGTATGCACGAGTAGTATTTGTCTCACTATAGTATAGAGTCTTATGGACTGCGTCAATTCGCGAACTTGGCAAACGGGTTGTATCGTTGTGAGCAGCAACATTAGCGCAGTTCGCCGGCGAGGGAACGACTAACCAAGATAAGCCATTGGTTGCCAAGGGCAGTAACTGGTAACTCATTGACGAGACCAGTGTCGTGGAGGGGGGCCAGCTCCCCCTTATGCAAGGATCGGGAATTCCAGTCTGGCAGTGCAGGATCAGGCGAACAGACAGTATCAAAGAGCATCACTGTGTCATTAGTCTCGGACAAGGGGGACTGATTACGATGCTACTGTTCAGTATGTGTGGTGCCTTTAGACATGCGGGAATGAGCTGGGCAGGTACGACATGACTGGCGGTCCTGGGCTTCTCGTAAACCACAGCATCCAACTTTCTCCCCCTCACCGATTTCTACCGACGGTTGGTGTACCGGTGAGTCCCCCCACAGTTCTTCAGTCTACGTGACTTGCTCAAGCAGCAAAGCCGGATTTCCTCTCGTCTTTCCAACTAGCGTGCTGCATATTGGCGAGTCCCTATTGGTCCATCACTGCGTTTGTGCACCGACGTTCGGGTAGCAGTATCCACACCCAGACGCCTAAGATTGCCTGCTCTACACGGTGTGTCTTTACCTGTGGGCACTTCTGCGTTGTTTAATTAGCCTCCCTGATTTGAGTAGCATTCTGACACTCAAGATTGCTCACCCTGTTTCTTTGACATTTCCAGGGATAACGTAGGTTTCCACTGTTCTGCTGTCTTATTGCAACTGATCACCAAACCCAGTCTAAAGGCAAAACCAGTTCCGCTGTGTATATCATCCAGGTGTAACAGCATTCAATGGCTCCAGCAGACAATGTTTCTCGCAAGCGGGCAGAGTTAGAACGCTATCCTCCGGGACATGATGGCCGGGATGTTGCTCTCTTCGGACTGGCGGATGCCCTCAGCGACAGATACGAGGAAGAGGAAGAAATCGACTACTTGAACGAGGCAATTGATTTGCACCACGCGGCTTTGGAACTCCGACCAATTGGAAATAACGATGACGATCGGGCCCGGTCACTCCACCACCTCGCTCTCTGTCTTTCATATAGATATGGAAAGCAAGGGGTCTTCGATGACTTGGAAGAAGCCATCGCGCTTGGACGTGAAGCACTAGAGCTGCGTCCACCGGGGCATCCCAATCGTGATGTGTCTCTCCACAATCTCGCTTCTGACCTCAGGACGAGATTTATGAAACACGCTGTGACCTGCGACTTGGAGGAGGCTATCAACCTCCTCCGTGCAGCTTTGAAACTATGCCCCTCTCCACATCCTCTCCTGTCTTCATCGCTCCAAGGACTTGCTCTCTGCCTGTCGAATAGACATGATAACCAGGGGGGAGTCGATGACTTGGAAGAAGCCATCACGCTCGGACGTGCAGCACTAGAGCTTTATCCACCAGGGCGTCCTGATCGTGGAATAGCTCTTTACAACCTTGCATGCGACCTTTGGAAGAAGTTTCGGGGACAGGCTGACACGCCTGGTTCGCACAGGGCAAATTCCCGTCATCAGGCTGTGTCGGTGGTTCGTCCAACAAGCAGGGCTGATGTCGCCTCTTCCCTTTTCGAGCTCTCAGAACACCTCTGGAACAGGTTTCAGAAGCAGGCCATGATGACCGACTTGGACGATGCTATTTGTCTTGCAACGTGTGCTTTGGAGCTCCGATTGCCTCGCGAAGTTGTTTCCGTTGGAGCTTGGGTTCAGAGGCTGTCGCAAGGTGCATACTCGAACGAACCCGTCATACTTGGTCGAGTGGTAGACGATCTGTGTGTCCTTGTGAAATACCACAGGGCCAGATTCCAAGCTCGGCACGCAATCGTCGACCTGAACGAGGCTATCACCTTATACCGATATGTGCTGCGACTCCACCGGACTGGGCATCCCAGTCGCGCTTTGTCCCTCCACAACCTGGCGCAGTGTCTAGCAGACCGGTTTCGTCAACAACCCGCAGCAGCCGATTTGGACCAGGCTATTGCTCTCGAGCAAGAAGTCCTGGAGTTACTCCTACGTGAAGACCCAGGTTACGAGGTGTCTCGACGCTGTCTTGCGGCCTACCTCCAAACGAAACTCAATTCACAAGTTGCCATGATGTCCTCGGATGCGTCAAATGTTACCCTCTTCGACATTAAGCAAGTCATCCGTAATGTTGCATTTGAAACCCTCAAAACCACGCCAACCAGGCTGCTGCACACACCTACTGGCATATTGTGCAGCCGTGATGCGCAGGTATCACATTTTATGAACAGTCAACAGTGCAAACGGCTGGTGTCACTATGCACAACGTGCGACCGGGACCAGCAAATAGACCTCATTCATGCTAATGTCTCGAGACACTTCCGGTACGCCACGCTTTCGCACCGCTGGGGTGAAGCAGAGCCATCATTGCGCGACATCGAGGGCCACCCGATATATGGCATGTCGGCCAAGGGGGGCTTTGGGAAGCTCCAAGCCTTTTGTCGTGTTGCCCTGGAGTGGGATTACTTATGGGCATGGAGTGACACGTGCTGCATCGACAAGCACAGCAGTGCCGAGGTGCAAGAAACGATTGGATCGATGTTCGCGTGGTATCGACAATCCTCCTTGACCATCATATACCTTTCTGATGTTTCCAATGCCGGTTCGCTTGGGCACAGCGAATGGTTCAAGCGTGGGTGGACCCTCCAAGAACTACTGGCTCCCGAGTGCATACTATTCTACACTCAAAACTGGTCACTTTACAAGAACCTGGCGTCTTCGAACCATAAAGCCGTCATCGCTGTGCTGGAAGAGCTGGAGGTAGCAACTGGAATAGAGTCCCAATTCTTGTCCAAATTTTCTCCAGGTATGGATCATGCCCGTTCGAGACTACAATGGGCGTCTTTGCGTCGTACCACACGACCTGAGGATGTCGCCTACTCACTTTTCGGGATCTTCAATCTTCATCTTCCCGTTCTGTATGGCGAATCTGCTGAGGACTCGCTAGGCCGTCTCCTAGCCGAAATCATATCGCGGTCTGGGGATATCTCGGTTCTGGATTGGGTGGGAGAGGCGTCACTGTTTCATAGCTGCTTCCCTACTCACATCACCTCATTTCAAATGCTCCCGTTGCCTCCGCCCCAACCTAACACAGACGAACGGTCGTCGTCAATGAGTCTGCAGCCCACGTCACCATTCGGAGTACTACGAAGGTTACGTGGCTCACTCACTACGTCGCTCCTCCCCCAGTTTCTCCGCCGTCCCCAGACACCGTTAGGCATTGCCCAGCGTATTCTGGCGGACCGGCGGAAAACTCCAGATGCGTATGCACCACTGGCACGCGATGCATACGACTTCCACTCACTTCCTAAGGCGCCCCTTCCACGATTCATCAATCGCCGCCTTATACTACCATGTATCGCCCATCGAGTTACAGATATCCGGCTCAAAGGGACAGATCTATCGGCACCGAGTTACACGTACGAAATCCAGGCATCCGGTCTGAGGCCGCTTGAGATCGCACTGCCACACAAGCTAGACGATGCAACCAGGTTGCAAGGTGCTTTGCAGCTCGTTCGTCCTTGGCACTCGAAGCTGCTTGGTCCATCCGTCGAGCTAGATGCCGTGACTGAAGAGCAGCTGCTTTTTGCATTGGATAGGTCATTTAATGCCTTTCTCTTGATTCAGTTACCTCACGATGAGCACAAAAGGATCGCATCTTCTACCCTCATTACTGCTCGGCCCATGAACCGGGCCAGCATTCTGAAAAGCAAAGCCAAGATATTCAATATTGTGTAGATAATCGTAGCATCATGATATTGTCCGCTGCACATATCCAATTTGCCTGCACTTGTCCAACTATTACGTCGACTCGCATTCAACCCGGGCTAGTGCCGGAAATTTTGGATGTCATCTCCACCCGTTCACCCATCCCGAAGGCAAATCGGAGTAATCATAGGTACAGTTATGGAACACACGAGGAACAACTTAAATGTAGAACAAGATATATAAGAACTCAAGACCCCCAATTGATAATTGAAGCATGACTCGAAAACGTTGCATGTAACGCGGAGAGAACAGGTCCACTGAAACGCAAACATCTTGCCTCCGAGATCGCAGTACCGTCATTCCTTCCTCTCCTCTTCAGCCAGTTCGCTGTCTGGAATGTCATCCACGGTTTGAACCGGGAACACGCTGTCTAAGTGCCAAATCATGTCCAGTCAGCAAACACTGTAAAAAGTAAAATCACTAAAATTAAGTGTCCAAATCACTTTTAATGAGTGTCAGAGCAGCTGAGAATCAGTGTCAGTCATTGAACTTCAGTGTTTTTCTGTGACACTGAAGTACCCATTCAGCCTACTAAAAAACAGTGTCCTAACCACTGAAAAATAAGTGTTTCCCTCTGGTGAGAGATGGACTTTCCCCTCACTAGACCTTGACGAGGTCCAGAGGCTTGGTGTGGTGGCTGCCCCACTGCCTAAGAAGTGAGTTATATGGGTGAAATTCCTGTCAGGTGTTCAAAGTGAAACTCGTCCACCCCCTCCATCCAAAGGATGGGTGTCAAGCTTCCCTGAGCCGATGCTAAAAACAATCAGTGAAAACTTAGAGGTATGCACAGCTGGGAGTACAACCCTGGGGCACTGGAGGGAGTTGTTTTGGTCTAGGCCCTGCTGCAGGAGGTTTCTGTTGGCATAGATATTCAGCTGGCCACCTCGCTTAATCCTGACACCTTCGTATACAAATCGGAGGTAATCCCCCAAAGAAGGTGGCAAAGGCACACCAGGAAGCGTGGCATACAGCTGTTTTGACCCCTCTGGATTGGCTCCCTGTGCGGTCAGCAGTCCCCTTGTCAGGGTCTGTATTATTGACTGGGAGGTTTTTAGTCAGTTGGGCCCCTTTGATGCCTTGAGTGCAACACTGTTTCCTAGCATGGATAGCCCAACCTGACATCACCGGAGCTGACAACTGGTACTCACTTATGAGTTTTCCTCCTACCTACACAAAAAAAAAAAAAAAAAAAAAAAAAAAATAAGTGTTTCTATCATTGAAAAATGGTGTCCATTTCATTGAATAAAAATGTTCTATGTGCTGCTTAACAGGATCATGTATCATGTAGTACTACCATCTACTACTATGGCACACTCTAAGGTGATTACATAAGATGACTAGACATCATATCAGGGGTTCACACTCACCAACTTCTTTTTTTGGGAGAATTGGCCTGGCTCAGTCTCAAACTTATGACCTTCGAGAAACTGGGGATGAAACATTACCACTGCACCACCAGTGCTTACAATTAGAGGTGCATCTTCATTACTTAGCCACCCCAGCCAACTTTGGAATCCTCCTTCTAACTCTGACAGCCTCATTATTCACAATCTGACTCGCAGCGCCCCCTGCCAAAATTGGAGCTCAGATTCCACCCCCGACCACATGCCCGAATTCAAACTCCGACTAATCAGCTTTGAATTTGTAATCCCTAGCTTGTGATAGTGACACTGATTTTGCATGACTGACATTGAAAATCAAGTGCACAATTGAGGCAATCATAAAATCAATGTCTGACCAATGACACTAAAAAGATGTGTCCCTGACTTTGGTGTCACAAACACTGTTTTTTAGTGATTTTACTTTTTACAGTGAAAATCCCTATGAGCTACTTACCTGCATGCCTTCCACAAGTAAGTGCTTGCCAATTGTGTGGTCAGTCCCTGTGCATTGATGGGTTATGTCACCCTCTTCAGTGGAACCCCCTGGCAGTGCCCATGAAAGGATTATGTTTACCATCTGCAGGTTCTGGATGATCTCTGTGGAGGACTTCTGTGCTTACCCAGTGAGGGAAACAGGACTCCCTCACTGCAGGGGTCATCTTTTCTGTGCAATTCATGGTTGAGGACATATTTCCTGATAGCAGTGACCCTCTCAACAAGAAAGAGTCTGCTTGGATAATTTCCCCACTCCATGAGATAGACTTTACATGGTGAGTGTTTGTATTGGTGGTGGTTCCATTATCTGGGCATCTGCTTTGAAGACAGCAGCCTGTGAAGTGATCTCAGCAGCCAAGTTGGGACGATATTTCTTGAAAGGCTGTCATCATGTCCAGTAAATTTTGTCTGTAAGATTTTGTATGGCCTGCCAAAGAAACACAATGGGCTGGCCACTGTTGGAACATAAAGTGCCCCTGTGGTACTTGACCACTGTGCGATGTTTTGGATGCTTACATAAGCTGAAATAGCGCACCTACTTGTAGTATTTTCTACTAGTATTCCCTCAGTAGTTTGTTCACTACTGAGGGTAAGTCCATTCATATTACAAGTATTCTACCATACTGACATCCTGTGGTAGCCTACAGGTATATCTAATATATTGGTAGTTTGTTCACTACTGAGGTAGCCTACAGATATTTCTACAGGTTATGAGCCCTGCCTAGTGCAGTGAAAATTTTCATATAGGCAAGACCTTGACTTGTAGAGACTTGAAGTCTCATACAGGAATTATGACTACTCACATCCTCTCTACTACTCTCAAAGTTACTGGAATCTATATTATGGACATACCTGAGCTCACACACAATGGCCACAACTGGAACCACTATGGGGAGTGGTTCTGCAGGCAGTTGACAAAGAAGGCTTCATAGGGTTCCTAAATGGGTCTGAAACATGACCTACTGATCCAATTGAGCTGGAAGGATGTGGCCAAGGATGGGCACCATGTACTGATGAGGAATGAGAACAGGTTGCAGCCTGGAAAGCTGCTGACAGTGCCTGGCAGCAGTGCAACAGCTTTGCCTCCCATCTCATTATATGTGGACTACCCAACTCAATCCTCTGCAGCATAATGCATTTAGAGTCTGTGCATGAGATGTTCACTTACCTTGAGTCTTGCTATGGCTCGATCCCAAGGCCTGCAAGCTGGAGGGCAGTTGAAGGTGCTGTGCAAAGTGATGACTGGCACAAACCTTCACTTGCACTAGAGACAACTAGTGCAACTCCACAAAATATCGTCCTTGACCTATTGGCCACCCTCAATGGTGAAAGGGACAACATGCAGCTGTTGTCCAAGCCTGTAGCAGTTGCACCTAGTCAGCACATACAAGTTGAAGCCTCAAGCATTGATGTACCTACACTGGAGGTTGAATGAGCCCTAAATGGGCCTTTGGAGCTGGAGATGGAGGTAGTGCCATGCGAAGCAGGCAGTGGCCAGATGGATGAACCTGAAGACACAAACCCAGAAGTGTCAAACAGCCATATAGACAAGACCAGCACTATAGGCACATGTGGTCAACTTGTCAACATGACAAGGGATCTACATCTATTCAAACCCAGCAGTGAGACTTTCAATCTTGCAATTAATTCTACAAATCTCAAGGACAGTCACATCATTGAAACTACACTACAAATGCCTGTCGAACACGATCAGTGTATTCAGACATGCAGTGGTCTGATTGCTGACATACCTGACCCTCTGAGTGCCCATGTTGCATGCTCAAATTTGTCCACTCAATGTCCTGGCCAAGTCTTTGGTACTATGAACACAGAATGCAAGTTAGCACAAGCACAAACATTTGATAATGGAGAAGTCACCTTACCACATCCTCATGAAGTGCAAATGACCCCTCTGAACCTGAATGTGCCTGCTAATGAGCCAAAATGGCTCCAGGACCCTCAAGAGGCCAAGTGGCCCCAGCCTGAACAAGATCACATGCAAGCAATGTGACAAGAGACCTATGAAGGTCAGCACACATGGAAAGTCTCAATTGATGAGACTAGGGGTGTAGGTGAAGACAGTGAGGGTACCTCCCACTGGGAGCATAGTTGAGATGGTGGGAGAGCATCAACAAAGCTGGAGATAAGAGCAATCAGCACTTGAATGGCCAAGATATGAGGTGACTCACCAAATGTGGAATTTCGGCCAAAGGAAGCCAATGACAAGTGCTACAGCAGTGCAAACAATGGTGCAATGAGCAGCCATGCTGTCTGCTCATATAGAGCAGAGAAGGGGTTGCTAGCTGACAAGAGAAGTCAGTACACTCAAAAATGAGAGGTAGAATGGCTGAATCATTTACCTGCACCACCTGAACTGCCTCCAGACCTCATTGTGCACAACTGGATACCCTACAGGACTCAACATCGATGTAGGAAGATCAAATTAGACTGGCAAGATGTCAGTAAAGCCTGTGTGAGCCGAAGCATGCACCATGCCACCAATGTTTCCCTCAAGGCAACTCAAGTTACCTTACAGAAGCTCTCACAACCCCCCAAGAACCCTCTGGACATTGCTAATGCCTATCTATGGCAGGGGGTGTGTTCTATACTGAGGTGTGCCATCAACAGCCCACACGAACATCGTACAGCACTCACACAGTGATGTGGCAAAGGCACAACGTGCATGCAAGTTGTGTATTACCAAAATGGGAACAATGTGGCAGCACAGCCACAATGTGTGCCCTCATGACTCTATGCACACAAGACTCAAACAGAAATTATACTCATTTACTCATATCATTTGGTATACATTTCTTTTTTCTTAAGAGGAGGCTGGAATTAAGACTATAAAGAAGGTCTCAGGTTTCTGTGGTAAGAAGACTTAAATATTAACAAGCTAACCTATAAAGAAGGTCTATGGTAGTGTATCAGTAAGGTAGCTGTAGGGTTAATATAGTAAACATACCTCAGGCTTCTGTGGTAAGAAGACTGAGGTGCATGAGGAAAAACTAACTGCCTAAGTGCGAAGAATTATTATGTAAGCTTGTATGCTGTAAGCAAATAAACATAGGGGACACATGTTCCAACACACCCCCTCAGTGTAGCAAGTCTTTAGAAAATAATTCCCATACCAAGAGAAAAGCATTCATTCTTCTCACATGACAGTCCCTTGGTGAGAACATTGGTGGTCTGCTCATTTGTAGAGATGTACTTGATGTCCACTTCTCTATCTTCAACCTTCTTGCAGATAAAATGATGATGAATAGGTATGTGCTTTGTGTGGTTGTGGAACATTGCATTGCTTGTCAGGGCTATTGCAGACTGATTGTTGACCAGGAGGGAAGTGGGCTGTGCAGTCATATCCATATCTAGTTCACATAGTGGCATTTGTAGCCAAAGTATTTCTTCTGCAGCTGCCAAGACTGCCATGTACTCAGCTTCCATGCTAGACAAAGCAATGGAGGTCTGTTTCTTGGATGACCAGCTAACTGCTCCACTGGACAGAGTAAAGATGTAGCCAGTTACAGAATGACAGTCATTTACATATGCAGCCCAGTCAGCATCAGCATAGCCTCCAAGAGAACTTGCAGAGTCTCTTGTGTACTGTAAATGCACATCAACAGTTTTTCAAAGGTATCTGTAAACACATTTGAGTGTGGTCCAGTGTTGGTTGCCAGGGGTAGCCACATGCCTGCTAAGCATGCCCACAGCAAATGTGAGATCTGGCCAGGTAGCCAGCATAGCATACATCAATGCTCCAAGAGCATTTCAATATGCTTGTAGGTCATAGGCAGGAGCATCAAGTTTCTCTGATTTTAAGTTCTCCTCAATGGGCATGGACACTGCATGGCCATCCTGCATGCCCATACACTCAAGAATGAGCTCTATATAGTGATGCTGAGACAATTCTATGGTTCCCTTGTCATGATCTCATATAGTCTCCATACTGAGGATCCACCGAGCCTCACCTAAGTCAGAGAGGTCATACTTGGTTGATAATTGGACTTTGAGGTGGTCGATGGCCTCACAGCTCTTCGAGAGGATCAGTTTGTTGTCAATGTAGACAGCAACTATAATTAAAATGCCATTTTCATCTTTGTAGAAAAGACTGTGATCAGTGTCACTGCATGTGAATCCGAGAGATTCAAAGACTTCTTGTAGTCGATTGTACCAAGCTTTTGGAGCCTGTTTTAGTCTGTAGAGCATGCAATAGAGACACCAAATGATGCCACTTGAGTCTCAGAAGCCAGGAGGAGGATGGAGGTATATTTCCTCATCAAGTTTGCCATTTAGAAAGGTGGACTTTACATCCATCTGGTGGATCTCCAGATTGAACTTAGCAGCAAGGGCAAGTAGGGTTCTGATGGTAGAAAACTTAGCTACAGGCACAAATATCTCTGTATAATCAATTCCATGGACTTGTGTGAATCCCTTTGTGACAAGTTGGGCTTTGTACTTATCAATGTCACCTGTAGGGCTTTGCTTTATCTTATAGACCCACTTTGAACCTATAATCTTTCTGTCAGGTGGATGCAGTACCTCCTCATACAATCCTATAGTGCGAAATGTTGCTAATTCATTGGCCATCACTGCATACCAGCAGTCAGCATCAGTGTGATGCATCACATCTGTGAACATCATAGGCTCATTGTCGCAGATTGTGCTTGTTTGGTATGCAGTAACTTCTTCCCTTTCTGGGTCATCACCACTCTGCTTCACCATTGCCACACCTTCTTGTGCACTCACCTCTGTCTCAGCACCCTCACCCTCTGCCCCTGCACCCTCCACAGATGGTAAGCTATGTTTTTGATATGCATTGACAAAATAGCATTGATTGTCATCTTGAATAGGCATTTTTCTGGCTTGGGATGACCTTTGAAGTCCCAGAGGGGGGATAGGGATCAGATAAGGACTGGTGTGGGACACTACCTCTGGGTAGTGTGTGAATAGGGGAAAGCTGTGGGGGAAATCCCTAGGCTTGACCCAAGGGGTGCTGAGTAGGAAGGAGACATAGAATACAATGGTAGAGTCGGTCAAGGAGTCAAATGTGGGGCATGGAATTTAATTCTGCAGAGATGTAGGCAAATTGGGTACAAGTAGACTTGCTTTTCAAAATTCTGAGTGTCAATCTTGGCCTGACAAAATAATTCTGAGATGAATTAGGCACACAGGAGGGGAGACAAGGTAATAGCAGATCAAAGACACAGATATGCAGAAGACACAGAGGATGCAAGGACACTTTGTACACTTTAGACATGCATATGACACAGATTTTGAGTCCCAAAAGATGATGATTCCTTTTTCTTTGTTGCTGAGGCAGAATTATATAGTACATGGATAGTAAGGTACTGATCAGAGAAATGTGGGGCAGGTAAAGCAAAATTCCAAAAAAAAAAAAAGAGGGTGATGTGTCAGATGCCAAAGCCATACAGAATTGTGTGAAATCAAACTGAACAGTAGTAACTGAGGAAAAGAAAAACAAATGGGAAAGGGTGGGTATCTTCCAACAGGATAAGTGTGCATCATACTGTGGAGTGGAACATGAAGGATAGAGGCCATAGATGCAAAGGGGTTCTTGCATTGTGGAGAAAGATTTGCAGGAAAGGAATGAGAGGGGTAACTGGAGTTTTTTACTGATGATCTGTGTGATTTCCCAGCTATGTGGTGAGGCAAAGGTTGGGGGGGACATGACTGCAGAATTCCAGACAGACATATGTCAGGTTGATGTTGACATGGAATTCTGGGATGATGACTGGTGTGTGTTATTGATGGACAGGGGAGCTCCAAAGGTTTGACAGGTGAGGTGGTGCACAAGGCTGATGCATGAGGCTGATACAATAATTCTGAAGATGACAGACATGGAACTCTGATAGGGGTCGACTTTGGTAATGGCAGAATTTTGGTGTTGGCATCCCTATTTCAGCCTCAGGGAGTATACCACTCCCTACACCTCCTATGGTCTTTGAATGCTGACTGTCCTTGGTCAGAGGTCATTGAGTTGCAACAGAAGGGCAGCAGAGATCCAGCAGGTGATGTAAACAAAGATGGCTTGTGTTTGGCCATGCACCTTGTGTGAGTAAAAACTCTGCACTTAGATAATGTGTCAGCAACAGTGCTGAAAAACTTGCCCAGAAACTGTCTCATCATCAGATTCACCCTTGTTACCCCACCATCCCACTCGCAGATTCTCACTTCCTTTGCCAACTACCATGCAAGCTTACTCCATCAATGACATGTGTCCCATGTTCAGCATGAGGGACCAGGCAACCACAGTGCTCACTGCAGCTCTAGGGCATGTCTGGGACCTGATCAAGGTGGTGCCACAGCCAGAGGAGAGTTTGGGGACCATCTATGCATGGGTGGAGGACTGGGACAAGACATGGGTGAGTAAACCTTCCATGGTAGTGTATCATGCTATGATGGAATTCTGCAGGCCAGTATTCACTCATGGTGGAGATATGTCAATGACAATGGAATTTCTATACTGAAGGTTCATGACAAGTGCATGTGCAACTACACTGAGGAATCTGCAATGTGCCAAAACCTTCTAGTCCTGGGTGCCATTGCCATTGCTGACCTCCAGTGCCCAGTGGAGCAGAGATGGATCCACATTGATGACATCTTTGAAGACTACCAGGAGAGGGTAGAATTGAGGGTGCAGCTTGAGGCAGAGAGGTTGACAAGAGAACCTTCTATGCACATGCACAGACAGGCAGCAATGGTGATAGGTGAAGGTCAAGGCTGCATGCCCAGTGACACTGGAGCAGGGGAGTCTTCAAGGGAGACTGGAGGACAAGTGAGGCAACAGATGGATAGTACAGGCAAGGGGAAGGGTAAGGAAAAGGTATGTCCTACCCTCCAGGAAACTCCATGTGTGATGGCTAATGTTCAGAAACTTTCTGCAGGCCACAGATGAAGTTGACAAGCTGGAGAATGATGAAGGCAACTGCCCACCTAACCCAGACCCATTGAAACTGGCACTCCAGCACCTGAAGCCAACCTTCCATGTAGGGAGTGTGTGAAGGTAGATGCAGAGTGCAAAGGGCTACCTGGGGAGTTGTGTGAGTGATGCAGGCAGGCCAAGTGGAAGTGCAGCTGGTCACTCAGAGTGGGTAGGAAGGTGAGTACAAGCTGATCATGACATGAAGAATGAGGGCACTGAACCATAACACAGCACAAGAACACTGGTAGTGGAGAGACAGCTGCTGGGCCATTGCACAAACAGACCAAGTCAGTAATGGTAACAGTGATGACTGAAACTCTGGTGATGACTGGGCTGAAACTTCAAATCCCTGCTCACATACCACCCCCTAGGCAAAACTCCAAACCAACTCCTGGGCACCCAACACCTCATGCTAGTCCTCCTTTGACCTCAAACATGCCTCCTCCTCCTGCACCTTGACCACCTCTTTTCCTTCCATCAGCAACCCCTGCACCTCAACCTCACCCTGAGCCAACTCCACCACCTATGGACAATCTTGGAGACCTTGGCAATGGTGGACTCTTTGGCAGACTGACTGGATTATTGGACAATCCACCCACACCCAATGTCAGTGTGCAGGACCTGTCCAAAGTTCCCCCAGTTGAAGAAACTCTGCTGGTCACAAACCTGAGCAAATTGACTACGCACAAGGCTCTTGCTGAGTACATCTGACTGTTTGAGGGTAGGGTGGATAACAAGGAGTTTGAGTTGACCCAGATCCACCAGATGTTGGGGCTGTTGGTGATGTGAATGGAGTGACAGATTGGCACAGTTCAGGGGCGACATGAGGAGCTGAAGAGGTTGAAGGATCAGCTCAAAGATATGTAGGCACATGTACAGTAGCATAGGTAGATTGCAGAATTATTTTATTTTATTTTGTGAGTCTTTTTGGTACTTGAACAGAATTATCACTAAGAAAGGAGCAGGAGAAGAGAATGAATTGGTGAGAGATGAGAGAGAGATGAGTGGTTTTTTTTTGTTTTTTTTTGTTTTGAGGACTTCTTGTGAGCAGAGATGGTTTTGTTTTATATGAGATGAAGAGGGTATATATATAAGCGAAAGAAAAAGTGGAGAGAGGAAAGAAAAGAAAGAGAAAGATAGAGAGAAAAGTGTGCTACTCATCTGATTTGTCCAAAGGGATGCCAGCGAGTGTGGGGTCTGGTAGTGAATCGTCTTCCAGGTGATCTAAGTCACATGTGGAAATTCCAGGCAACTGTGTGACTTCAATATGAGCAGTGTTCTGTGGGAAATAGGGGTAAAGACAGAAGGCAGCAAAACAGAATTTGGACACTGCACCATCTAACTCAGTAAGTATGTACAAGCCTCCTTTGGTGTGATGGACAATGATCATTGGGCCTAGGTACTGTGGTTTGGTCTTGTGATTGAGCTCTCACTTGATACATGAATTCTGCACAAGGACAAGTGACCCTGGTTCAAAGTCAAAGTCTTTGATTGTACATTTGAAGTGAGTGACAAAATCTTTGACAGAGGGAGTGATGAAATCTTTGACAGAGGCAAAGTGGGATTTAACCACTAGATTGTGAATGTGGGTGAGGTCATCTGGACATTTCTGAAGTTGATGAGCACAGTGAGCAATGAGTTCTGTCATCAAGAAAAATTCTGCCTTGAAAGGGGCTAAGAATGTCACCTCAGTAAGGTCAAAAGGGAGTCTAGGTTTGATGCCATGAGCCATGTAGAATGGAGAAAACCCAGTTGCCTTGTGAATCATAACCCTCTCCACCCAGAATACTGCAGGAGCAACTTCTAACCACTTTGATGCCTCTCCTCCACAACTTTTCACCAACACCTCCCTCACATTGAAATGCTGTCACTCAACAACTCTGTTAGCTTGTGAGTTATAGGGGGAGATATGTATATGGCAAATTCCGAAGGCCTTGGAAAGCCAGTTGAGGGCAAGGACGTAGGGTCTGCCATTATCTGTAACAATCTCCACAACTGCACCCCAGTGGCACAAGATCTGTTCAAAGATGAATTTTCCAATGGATTTACCAGTTTCTGCATGAAGCATAGGCCACTCTGGGTAGCTTGTGAGGGAACAGTGAGCTTGGGTGATGTAGCAAAACCAGTTTGACTTTGGCATTAAGAACATTTTCATGTATGCTTTGTAGAATAGGGGTTCTGGAATGGTGATGACTGGCAGAATATGTATGTGATCCAAACAGCATATTTGGCACTCATGACATGACTTGACATACCAGTGGACATCCTGCTCTAGCATGGGCCACCAGAAATGAATCAGCAAATGCATGTGGGTCAAGAAGATACCCTTGTGTCCTAGCTCATCATGAGCTTGATGAAGAATCCTGAGGCATTTGTGAAGAGCAACTACTAGTTGGTGATGTCCTTGAGGCTCTTTCCTCCACAGCTCTCCTCCTTTGACAAAATACTGGGTGGTGAGATGCACCAGGCTCTCCAACTCCCTTTCCTCCAATCCTTCTGGTGTCTTCTTTGTCTCCAAAAACTCCTTCACCATTTTCAACCTCTCCTCTTTCTGGATTGCTTTCTCTGAGCACAGGATTTCCATCTCATAGACACTCAGTGAGGATTGTTCAGAGGAATAGATGCCTAGACTCTGTGACAAGACTGAGGGTGAGTCTGACATGATACTCAGAATTTCTGAAGGGTAAGGCTGAGACTTGAAATGGGCCTCCCTACAGTTCAAGAGTATGACAGCAAAGGCTCCACACTCATCTATCCAGTCCTTGTAGTCCTCTTCCCCATCCCTATCTTCTTCTGCTGTTGGTCTCCTTGAAAGACTGTCTGGCACTGCATGCTTGTGTGTAGGGACATGTGCAAGCTTGAAGTCAAATAAAAGAATTCCTGCAATCCAGCAGTTGATGGTTGTGTTGGGCTGTAAGTCAGGATTGTTAATCATCCCCTTTATATATCATGCATCAACCTTGACAACTAAATTCTGCATGCCAAAAATGTGAAGTCTGATGTCATGTAAAGTGCAGAAAAGACCAAAGAGCTCAACTTTAGCTTGGCTGTAGTGGTGCTCATGGTTGTTGAGAGTTATTGAGCTGAACCTTGTAGGGTAACACTTTTTATCTTCCCCCTCCTGCATGAGGAGGTATCCTACAGTGATATTCAAAGTGTCAACTGCTAGAATGACCTTCCTTTTGGAATTGTAGTCAATAGTATGTAGTGCAGGGGACAAGATGATAGCCTGGCAAAGATGTTCCATGGCTTCTCTATGTTCATTGTGGAATTTGAAGGGGATATCTTTCTTGGTCAGCTCAACAAGGGGATGTGTGTGTTTAGTGAAGTCTTTGACAAAGATCCTGCAATATGAGCAAAGACCTAAAAATCTGTGCACTTCAGTAACATTTGTGCAGTAGGGCCAGTCTTTAATCTTTTGGACTTTAGCTTCATCCAGAATTCTCCCCTCAAATGACACCTTATGCCCAACCACTATGATAGATGGTGCAGTGATGACACATTTCTTTGCTGAGACAGTAGCTCCTGCATGGCATAGACAGTGTAAGATGCAGTTGACATTCTGTAGGTGCTCCCAGATGAAATGTCTGATCCCAGAATTTTGTGGGATTGTCTGGTAGGTACCATCAGAATTTTGGTAACAGGATTTTGGACCTTTGATTGGGCAATCATCAATGAAAGGGATGGTTACTTCAGGGATTTCGTCCTTCAATATCCAACAGATGTCTCCATGGAAAATCTGGATGGCATTCATGTGGCCCATAGGTAGCTTAGTGAGTCATAGAGTACTGATAGGGGTTTGGAAAGTGGTAAGGTTGCAGTATCCATCATGGATGGTGCAATGATCATATCTGACCATAAGATCTAAAATTCCATAGACAGAATGGCAGGCAAAAGCTGCTGCAATTGAGTTGACAAAAGGGGGAATGGCTAAATCCTGTATAGATACTGCATTTAAAGGTTGTAAGTCATGGACAAGATGGAGAGATTTTCTGTCCTTCTTGACTATGCAGAACCACATAGTGTAGTCACACTTAGTTACAACACATGGTCAGCCTGTGCACCAAAACACCAACACTTATATAGACCCCAAGACAGGCCCACCTAAATAGATTAGCCAGTACACATGGACAGGCCCAAGGGACTAAAGTGAGAGCAACATATGTATGGGCCTGCAAGTGCATTACCACAACATATGGGAGGGCCCATGGTGGGTAAGGATGTCAAAACATTTAGATGGGCCTGTGACCAATTAAGAATACTGAGCTGCTGTAAGACATGGACAGGCCTGTCCTGGTAGGTTACACCCCTGTTGCAACATCAAGCCAGGCCCACCTATCATAACATGGAGAGGGTCACAACATAAGGACAGGCCTGGGAGGAATACCATTTATGGTGTTGCAACATATAAACAGGCCTATGCATAATAAGCCATACCCCTGTCACAACATAAAAGATGGGCCCATCACTAATATCATTTAATAGAGTCACAACATAAGGTCAGGCCCTTCAGTAGTATTATTTATATTGTTGCAACATATGGACAGGCCCATCCACAGTAAGATGTGCCTCTGATGAAACATAAAGATGGGCCTGTCAGTAATCTCATGTATAGCATCACAACATATGGATGGGCCCTTCAGCAGTATTATGTATATTGTCACAGCATATGGGTGGGCCTGGCCCCAGTAAGATGTACCCTGTTGAAACATAAAGATGGGCCCATCACTAATGGATGTGGTATCCCTGGCACCCACTGAACAGCAGCTTTCAATGGACACCATGCTGGCATGAATCAGAGATGATTTGAGTGACCCAGATCTCACAAGCTGCACCCTGGATGTATTTGGCATTAATCAGAGTATTTCCAGCCATCCACCCATCTGTATTGAGCAGATGTGGTATCCCCAGCACCTGCTGAAGAATGGCTTTCCATGCACACCATTCCAGCATGAATTGGAGCTGATTTGAGTGAGCAAGATCCTGCAAGGTGCACCCTGGATGTATGTGCCATTCATCCAACTGTTGTGAGCCATCCAACAATCTTTATTGAGCAGATGTGGTATCCCTGGCACCCCCTCAACAGCAGCTTTCTGCAGACACCATTCCCACATGAATTGGAGTTGATTTCAGTGATCCAGATGCAGCAGGCTGCAGCCTGACTGTGTGCTGCATGAATCACACTATTGCTGGCCATCCACCTATCTGTTTTGTGTGGATGTCATATCCTCAGCACCCACTCAACAGCAGTTTTCCATGCACACCATTCCATCATGAATTGGAGGTGAAGGGAATATGGTCATAACAAGCATATTTGCATGTAATTTGATCATCCATGAAGTGTCTGAAAGGCTCAGAAAAACTGGAAAGTATCTTGGGGGCTCAAACAAAAAAAGTGTTTGCATTTTTGATATATTTGACATGGGCACTTGAAAAAGGAACTAGCTTTGAGGATGGTTCTGTACCTACAACATATCAACAGCTCATTATGTGGGGCAGACACCTTGAGGTGTTGTGCAATGATCTCTTCCTGCTGGTATTTAGGGGTTTCATCATGTTCTAGGCTGTTTACTGCTATTCTGACTATCTAGGCAGCACTGTACTACTGATTGGCAGTCACCACAATATTCCCAAGCTCATCCCTTCAGGGGAGAGCACTGGGGAACTGAAACAATCCTCCAGAGAGCATGGGAAAAGGTGCAAAAAATTGTGGAGACTTTCAAAACATATCAAAAACATGAAATTGCACACCCCACACAATGTATGGTATCCAATGGATAGTAGTACTGAGTGTCCCTTGGTGGTGGGATATACATACATGTAACATATTATATTCATCACTCATTAAAACCCAAAAATGCGAAAAT